TGAGTAATTGAGTCAACAGCACCTAACAACAAAAACCTCTAGCCCACAAAAAACCACAAGTTACATTCAGTGAATTTCAAAACCTTTTTTTTATCAGAATCCACAATAAGAAATACATTTTACTTATTCAGATAAGGAGTATCTGAGTAGCATAGTAAAAAATTTGGTGGTTCATACCCACCCATATTGTTGTAAGGTGCCATCGAGTCACATATGATTCACAGCTATCCTATGAACAATTGATCTGGACACTGTCATTTCCCATGCCATTCTCACAATCTCTGACACCCTCAAGCTCATTACTGCAGTCACTGAGTTAATCCACCTGGTTGAAGAACTGAGAATTTCTTGAATTGTCCGAGAATAGTCTCTCCTAGAAATATGCCCAAATAATAAAGCTCCATCATCTTTGCCTCCAAGAAGCTGCACCTTCTCCAAGACGTATCTGTTCTTTTGGCAGTTCACGGGATCTTTAACACTCTTCTCCAACACCACAATTCAAAGGTGTCAATTAGTCTTTAGTCATCTTTGGTCATTGTCCAGCTCTCAGATGGATAGCAAGCGACTGAAAAGACTGTGGCCCAAATCAGGTGCACTTTTTTTCAAACTGACATTAATTACTCCTTAATAATTTGGAGAGCTCCCTGGCTGCACAATTTCCCAGTGCAATACACTTCCTGATTTCCTGACTGCTGGTACCAAGTGAATTGATTGCGGATCCAAGTAAGATGAAGTTATTGACAATAATCCTTTCTTCATCCATCCATAAGCAACTGGAAAGATGTGAAAGTCCATAGTCTTGAAACCCCTATGGGGAGGTTTTCCTGCACAAACTCAATCGAAAGATAACTGACAATTCACATTACTAGTATCTTATCATTGGCATCCATTTCAATTGTTTTAATGTCCTTATCATATTGATTGGGGGGGCTGGGGTGTGTGTGTGTGTGTGTGTGTGTGTGTGTGTAACATTGGGAAGTATCAAGAGATTTAATCACAGTTCATTAATTTAATTTCTTTTTACTTGTCATTTTAGCGTAAAAAAACTAGGTCACTGCATCTCAAACATTGCATGAAATATTTTAAGAACTCACACTTCTGTTTCTCTATTAGCTCCTTGCTTATCTATGTTACTACCTATGGCTTCTCAGCAGATAAGCTGTGATAAGTACCAAACATTTAAAAGGGAAATGGAAAAGGTATCAATTCTTCATTTATTTCTCCAAGTTAAGGAAAGATAAACATTATCTCATTTTGACCTTGAAACTCATTAGCCTAATTTATGAAAAAGAAATAAGTTACATAAAGAAACAAAAAAATCTCACTTTACCAGTAAAACAACATCATGATAATAGAGAATAGACTGAAGTCGTCAAGAATTTCATTTTACTTTTAGATCTACAATCAACATCTATGGGACTGTCGTTGTTGATGTGAGCCATCAATTTGGAACTCATTCAATATTATTCAAAATGGGTGAATATCTCAGTTGCAAAAGGACAAATATTGCATGGTGTCACTGATGTAAAATGGGACTGATATCAGGGTGGGGGTAAGACTGAGAAAAACGGGATAAATTGTGTATACTGCACTGAAACAGATGAGGGACTGAATAATTTAAAAGCAATGTATGATAGGGTATTATGGTTATCGCAAGAGTCCACAATTAAGGTTGCATATTGGAATGTACTTGGGGCGGTGGGAGGGGTGCAGGGGGATTGTGTATCAGGGAGGGAGTGTTTCTTTTATTTTTGAAAGAGAGGAGTGAACTGGGGGGTGGGGGGAGAGGACTGGGCGGGTAGAGAAGTGCAGCAATGAATGAATGGAAATCCAAATTCTCTGTAAATGTTCATTAAAATTATTAAAATTAAAATAAGATAAAAAATTTGGAACCAACTCAAAGCTGATCCTCCAGTGTTTTTTTCAGAGGCAGTAAGTTGCACAGGAGATTGACCATCCTTCTCTTATGGAGCAGCAGGTGGATTTGCCTGTGGGAATGCAGTATAACTTCCTTTATTCTATTTTTTTCTTTTTTTCTGGTTTTATTTTTTAATTAATTTAAATGAAAGTTTACAGAGACTTTGGATTTCCATTCATTCTTTGTTGGCTACTTTCCTCCCTGCCCACACCTCCACCCACCCAGTTTGCTTTTCTCTTTGAAAAATAAAAAAAAAAATTAAAAAAAAACTCCTTCATTGTTATACAATCCCCACCCTCACCCCCAGGCCACTTCACTATGCAGCTTTCATTCTGGACTCTTATCATGCCAATAATACCTAATCACATATCCTTTTTAAACAGTTTTCTCCCTCATCTGTTTCAATGCAGTATACATTATTTATCCCCTCCCCCGATGTCAGTCCTGCTTTACAACAGTGGCACTATGCAGTAATTGTCTTTCTGTGGCTGAGATTTTTCACTTAGCATAATGTTCTCCAGCAGCTTAGCTTCTTACCATCGCATTTTCAGTTGCTTCATATACATATAAAAGTTGGACAATGAATAAGAATGGATGTCTCTGAATTGTGTTGGCAAAGACAATACAATAATATGCCTTGTTGTTGTTAATGTTAGTTTGACTCACAGAGATGAGTACAACAGATCTGAACCATGTCCTAGCCTGTGTCATTCCCATGATTTCGGACATACCCGAGCCCATTGCTGCAGTCACTGTATCAATCCATCTGGCTGAGGGTCTTCCTCTCTTTCACTGGCATTCTTCCTTTCCAAGCATGATATCCCTCTTCAAGGAACAGATTCTCCCAACAACATGCCCAAAGTATATGAAACAAAGCTTTGCCATCTTTGCCTCCAAAGGAGCATTCTGGCTGTACTTTCTCCAAGCTCTATTTGTTTGTTCTTTTGGCAGCCTATGGGATATTCTGTACTCTTCTCCAACATCACAACTCAAAGACATATAAGCTAACAAAAGAACAAATAAGTATACCATAGACATGTGCCATAAAGAGCCCATAGACATATACCATACAAACAAAGGAACAAATTTGTCTTGGAAGTATCAGCCAGAGCACTCCTGAGAAGCAAGAATGGTGAGACTTCATCCTCCATACTTTGGCCATGTTATTGGAAAGAACTAGTCCATGGTGAAGAGCATCATGCTTAAAAAGTGAAGGGTCAGGAAAAAGAGGAAACCCCTCAAGAAGATGGATTAGTGCAAAGATTACAACAAGGGGTTTAAGCACAAGAAGAAGGAGGAAGGTGCATGACTGGACAGAGTTTCACCCTATTTACAATTGGTTATGAGTTAGAGCCAGTTTAGTGACACCAAACATTAACAAGGTGGCAATAGAGCTCTGGGGCAGCACAAATATTTAACATGCTCGGGTACTATCCAAAAGTTTGCTGTCTGAGCCTAATCAGAAGCATCTTGGAAGAAAGGTTAGCCAAGCTATTACCTACAACTCAGCCACTGGCAACCTACAGAGCACAGTTCTCCTCTGGCACACCAGACTGTCACGAGGAGAAAGTGATTCAGCTACGATGGTTGGTTTACTGTCAGGCTGCCAGCTCATACACACCATGAACACACAAGTGGGACATACACATTAATAGGAAAGTGGGTGAATGTATTTGATTTTATGGTCTATGAGTTTCAGGAGATTTCATGATTATCGTAAAATAGAAAGAGAGTTGAGAGAAATAGAAAAGAAGAAGATGGTCACAGGAAACGAACAGGCCTTTCCTAAGTAGACTGGTGAGGGACGCTAGGTGATTGCTCTCAGAGAAGATCAGAATGGCGTGCAGGCAGACAAAAGCAGTCTCCCTTTATAGGGGCTGTTAAGGAGATTGAGAGGGGTGGATGTTTGCTTGGGAAGTTGGGGTAGGGGTCCTGTCAGGATGTGATCAGACCCAGGGCCTGGTCATCTAAGCACTTTATCAAGACTTTGTCAGGGCTGGGGTTAAATATTTGGGGTAAGTGGGGAACTGTGACATTCTTCCTCCAGAAATCATTTTATATGACTTGCATGATTTTTCGGTCTTCCAAAAGCTATGCCTAGTGGCATTTCAAGATGCTCCATTAAAAACCCATGGGACACTCCAGTGCCTGGAACCCCAGAGTCTGGAGAAGTTATCAGGCTTGCTGGTCTCCACAGCCCCTTCCAGTGCTGGTCATTCATGTTCTCAGTGATTTCCTAGCTCATCAAAGCCAATCTTTGATGGACACTTTCTGTGTACATTATGCTAAGCATTCACTTTACATTAATACTCCCAGTACATTCATGAATTAATTATGGTATTAATCCAACAATCGGGACAGTGAGGTTCAAGAAAAATAAAGGACATGCTCTAGGTCACTCAGCTAGTGACACCTGAGATCTAAACCTAGCAGTCTGATTCCAAAGCTCTTACTCTTCATCCATATGCCAGTTGTGCTTTGTGATGAATGCTGTCCACCAAATATTTCTAGTTCTTCCTTGGACACCTGAGAAGATTCATTTTCTCCATCTACCCTCTTTGGCTAATGACACTCCAACAGAAGGGAGGAATGTCATTTCTAGTTGGGACTTTTAAGAGCCACTTTTAACTGCTGTATTTTCTTAGTAGTTCTAGAACTCCACACTGGGACTTCACTTCCAGCCCAAGTACCTGAGTGAGCATGATGAGGAGTAGATGCCTGTCCTTCTTTGCTCAAATAACCTGTAAATGACACACAGTGCAAATGAGAAACAAATCCAAACCACTATGATTTGGGGTTACTTGTTACTGCAGCCAGGCCTATGCCATGCTGACTAATCCAGTGCTATCCTGTCCATTATCTTTGACCTCAACCCTGAAACTTGCTTCTTCCAACTTCTAGAAAACACTGGCTCTACAAGCAAGCCTGAAAATCAGTAAGAGAAGAAAGAGTCTGTCCCCCTAAAGATGTGAATGGAAGTAGGTGTATGTTTGGGAGATCATGTACCCATGGTGAGAAACATTCTGGGATAAAATCTACACCCAGCCCCTAAAAGCTTCAGAAAGACACTTCCTCTCCATACTCTCTGTCATACTCATTTATTGGCTCTCCTTAATTTTATTCCCTACTATTCATGAAGAATGTACTAGTCTGGTAGGAGGGCCGGACTCTCAGGTCCTCCGGGCACTGCAGGCTGACGATGACCTTGCAGGCCTGGATCTGTACATCTTCCTCAGGATGGATGACCAGAGAGAGAAGCCTATCCGCCAGCCGTGACTCATCCCCAAAGAGAGCTTCATGCAGTGACTGCTCGTTGTACTGCCACTTCACAGCCCGGTAGTGGGGTGTGTTCCGGCCCTCGCTCAGCCGCTCAGTAAACACCAGCACCTCGAACAGCAGACACCCTGGCTGTGTGGACTGGAAAAGGTCCAGGAAGTTGCCGTGTACCTGCAGAGGGGGTGGAGGGAAATGGGGATGAAATCCCAAGCAAAGGCGAGGATGCTGAGTTCTTCTTTTATCCCTCCACTGTCTCAACTCCACAGTGCTGGCTCCTAAAGTTCAAATTCAATGCACCAGGCCTGTTTCATCTTCTTTTCATTATCATCCTCTAACTTAATTGCAGTGTGTCCATGAAATTTAAAAAAAAAGTGATATAATAATATGGATTCTGGGGAATTCATTGACAAATAACCTTTAAGGTTTGTTGACGTTGTTGTGTGCCATCAAGTTGGAACTTACCCATAGCTGACCCTCCAGCACGTTTTCAGAGGCAGTAAATTTCAGGGAAAGAGACTGCTCATTCTTCTCACATGGAGCAGTTGGTGGATTTCAAACTACATGCTTTTGGGATTGCAGTACAGCTTCTTAGCATTGGTCCATCAGAGCTCCCTAAGTGTGTTGTTTAAGGCTTAGTGTGTGGTTAAGTTTTAGAAATGTTTGGTGCATACTTAAGAGAAAGGTTAATTTCATAGAGTGCAGGGTATTAAGTATGGCTCACACTTGCTATTTGTGTTATTCACAAGCATAACCATACTAGGTCCCCGGGTTATGAAAATGGTTTTTACTTGACGACTACAGCTTAAAGGTTGGTGATTCAAACCTACCTAGTGATACCATAGAAGAAAAATCTGACCATCTGCTTCTGTAAGGGTTCACCCATTTACTTATTCACTGCCATTAAATTGACTGCAACTTATAGCATCCTTCCACGGGAGTTTCCAAGTCTGTAACCATAATGGGAGGAGATCGCCCATCTTTCTCCTGGTAACTGGTGAATTCAAACTGCTAAAGACACATGGCCTTTTCGGTTAGCAAAAAGGACTACGGATTATGTCACAGGGCGCCTTCTCATAAAGATCATAGCCAGCAAAAGCCCACGAAGCACTTCTACTCACTAATGACAATGGGCTCACCATGAGTTGTTCTCAATTCCACTTTGGTTTGATTTTTGTTATTGTCTTTCTAGTTTTAGGGGTTTTATCTATTAATTGCAGAAAGAGTAGTTTAAATTCCCAGATCTCCCACCATGATGGTATCTTGGTAAATTTCTTCTTCTAATTGTATCATATTTTCCATATATATTTTGAGATTACGTTGTTAGGTGGTATACAAGGTTGGAATTGCTCCAGTAGGCACTCTGGTAGCACATTTGCTAAGGTGCTCAATGCTAACTAACAGTCAGTGGTCTGAACCCACCAGCTGTTCTGTGGAAGACAGATGAGGCAGCCTAGCTCTGTAAAGATCTGCAGCCTCAGAAATCCTAGGAGACTGCTCTCTTCTGCCCTATAGGGTCTCTATGGGCCTGCATCAACTAAATGGCAACAGATTTCTTGAATAAGTATCCTTCCAGTGACTTGAATCTCTGATTATTATATTGCTGCTATTGTGAGGTGCCATCAAGTTGAGCACAACTCATGACAATCCTATGAACAACAGACCTGAACCTGTCTTCTCCTGTGCTGTTCTCATCATCTCTAACATACCTGAGCTCATTCCTGCAGCAACGATCCTACTATGCTCCTTATCTTCATTTTCTCCTGATCTTAAAATACCTGCACTTGCATTTGTTTCATCATCCGAGTTTCTTCTGGAATTCAGGAAACCCTTCAAAGGAGACCCACCTCCCACTATCATGGATTCCCATTTTAATGGGAGAAGGGAGGAGGGGACAGTTTTCTTTTTTTTTTTTTTTAAATTTTTGTGTACGTGTACCGTCAAATCAGATCTGACTGGTACAGGAGGATATTGCGCCTCCTTCTCCGGCAGAGCGTCTGGTGGATTCGAACCGTGTTCCTCTGGGATTGCAGTTCAGTTTCTTGCCACTAGGCCACCAGAGCTCCCCCGAGGGGACAGTTTTCAATGCACTTATGTCAGAGGATGGAGGAGGAGGAAGATTATCATATCAGAGCTAAGGGTCTGAAGAATCTGTTCTTCCCTTTCGTGGCATCTCTCAGCCCTTCTTTACTTCCCTTCTCACCTGGCAGTTGAGAATGTCATAGAGAAGGTCATTCTTCTGTGTCAGGTAGCTCAGCAGTCGTACGACTTGCACCTGCATAGAGGAAAGCGTGAGAGGGCTGGTGATCATGGCCTGAGTAGGGAAGACACAGTCTCTCCTCCTCACTCTAGGAGCTGTGCCCAGTGTCATGGTTAGAGAGATAGGGCCTCACCCACAGTGCTAGGGCACCTGTGCCAAGATGTAGTCACATTGCAGGATCTCCATCAAGGCGGGCATCACTCGTCGCAGCTGAGGGTGTACAAAGTCAGGCAGTGGGAGGTTGTTGAGGAGTCTGAGGCCAGCAATGTGCAACTCTGAGTCCCAGATGGTGGAAATCAGTTCCAGCACCTTGATGGAGTATTCCTGGAGTGGGGCACGAAAAGGCCTGTTATTATGTGGTGATCCACCACCACCACCCCAGCCTTCATGTGCCACTAGCCTACCTCATTACGCCGGTGCCAAGCCCAATAGACAACGTGAGCTCTCATCATCATTTCATCAGGTGGACCACTTCCACCTCCTTGGAATTCTTACTTAATCTGGCTCCTCTTTCAAGACTTTTTTTCTGGTTCTCATGCCCAAATTCCTCTTCTTGATCTATATCACTCCTTATGCAATACCATCCAGATCCAGTGTCAAATCCTATCCCTATGCTGATGGCCTTCAAATTCATGTCACCAACTCAGATTGCGTTCTTGAAATCTAGACTCAAATATTTTCAATTGTCAATCCCACTTCTCTCCCTGAACATCTACTAACAGCCTCACAGCTAGCCCATGCTCCACAACACAAGTGCCTCTCCCTTTACCTTTTCTATTTCAACTCTTGATAACATCTTCTAGTTGCTCAGTCCAAAGACCTGCCATCATCCTTGACTCCCTTCTTCCTCTCACAACCATTTTCCAATCATTTAGGAAATCTTGTTGGTTCTACCTTTAAAATGTACCAATACCCTGTATCAGTCAGATCTTATTTGATGGTACATGCACACACACACACAAAATAGATGTGCAACAATTAAAATGTACCAACACCATCGGATTGTAAAATGGTACAACCATTCTGGAAGGCAGTTTGGCACTTCCTCAAAAAGCTGAACATTGAAATTCCATATGACCCAGTTATTCCATTGCTTGAAATATACCCCAAGAAAATGAGAACTGAGACTTAAACAGAAACTTGTACACCAGTGTTCATAGTAGCATTATTCACCATCTCAAAAACATGGAAACAGCCTGATGTCCACCTACAAACAAATGGATTGAGAAGTTGTGGTATACTCACACAATGGAATACTACGCAGCACATAGGAGCAATGATTTTGTAAATTACTACCTAATTTGGGAAGGACTGGAAAGCATTATGCTGAGTGAACTAGTTCAGTCCCACAAGGACAAGTACTATATAAAACCATTATTGTAGAACAAGTAGGAGGATCCACAGCAGCGGGGGGAAGGTGGAAATAGATGTGTGGGGGGGGTTAGGGTATTAATCATAGGGTTGCACAATTTTATGGGTGGGTAGGGTAAAGGAAATGGGAAGAATATTTTGTGAAAAACTATGTATTCAAACTTTGTAAATAAATCAAAATAAAATATGAAAAAGAAAAATACACACACAAAAAGGCAACGTACATAAATTATTATATAAAACTAAAAATACATGAATGAAACAATGTACACAAATAATTGTATAAAAGTGAATGATGGTGTAAATAATAGTAAATTTTAATAATAAAAAAGACAAAATTTGTACCACCACCAGTCATTTCTCACTGCTCCTACCTTGTTGCCTCTCACCTGACTGTCACAATAGTTTTCTATCTCCCTACCTCCACCCATGCCCCTGAAATCTCTTTTCAGCACAGCAGACATGTTATACACATCACTCATCTTCTTGAGAGCTTCTAGTTCAAAGTATAAGCTAAAGTCCTAACAGTGCAGTACAAAATCCATATAATATAGCTCCCTCCCCTATTATATTCACCTCATCTCCCATTCTCTCTCCTGCTCCTGTCATAATGGCCTCTTAACTATTCCTCCAACATTCCAGGTATATGCCTACATTCAGGATTTTGCACACAGGCTGTTCCCTTTGCTGGGAATGCTTCCCACAAATTTTCATTATCTCCTGTAAGACTTTTCTTGAAGACCTTCTCAACTGGCTTTCCCTGGTCACTCCCCTTTAAGGTACAAGACCCCCTCCATCCCTGACTTCCTCATCCACTATCTTTGTTTTGTTTTCCTCTATACCCTTGTCATCACGTTAACATTTTTTATTCTAAACTTTTTCTTTTAAAAGAATTATAAATTTACAGAAAACTGCAAAGACAATACAAAGAGATTCCATGTACACTTCATCCATTTCTCACAATGAATACATCTTACATAATTACATAGTACAGGGTCAAAATCAGAAAGCTTATATTGATACAATGTATGTGTGTCATTCTATGTTATTTCACAATCAAGATACAGATCTCTCCAAACACCATAAAGATTTCCTTCATTCTACTCCTTTATGTTTACACTTCCATCCTGTCTCTGTTTATTCATAATCCCTAGAAATCACTCATCTGATTTCCAGCTCTATAATTTTGTCATTTTGAGAATGGTATATAAGTGGATCATGTCGAATGTCATATTTTTGAGACTGATTTGTTTTCACACAGCAACGACATCTATCCAAGTTGTATCAATAATTTGCTCCTTTATACTGCTAAGTAGTATTCCATGTATGGATGTACCATAGTTTCTTTAACCATTTAACTATTAAAGGACATTTTGGTTGTTTCCATTTAGTGATTACAAATAAAGCTGCTATGAACAATTGTGTAAACATTTCTTCCTCTAGGACAAATGACTAGAAATGCAAACAATGCTAACTTCTATAGTAACTGTACATAGGTTAAGAAAATAAAGAAATAACCACACACACACAAAAATAAAAACAACTGCCAAACTATTTTGCAGAGTAGATTTCTGACCAATAATCTGAGGGATACATCTTCACAGGTATTTGGTATTCTCACTATTTTCAGTTTTTTTTCTTTTTTTAAATTTATTAATGACAGTTGTAGTAGAATATGGCCGAAATATTTACAACAGCAATTCAATCAGAGTAAAGTAATAAATAATACCTACAGAGAGTATAACTTAAACTTCTTGAAAACTACTTACTTAAAATCAATCAACTGCTTTTGAGAGCTCCCAGTAAAAATCAACTTCATTATCATTTGGCATAAGCTCTGTTCAAGTACACGTTTTCAGCACTGCCTTTTTAGACAAAAGGATGCTGACGATGAGTTGGACTGATTGAAAATACTGCCTTGGTCATATTGACTCTAAAGTTAA